AAAAAAAAAAAAAAAAATCCTCTTTACGAGCTGAATGCCAGTCTCTCACAACTGAAATCTTAGCTACTCAGAAGACTGAGATCTGAGGATCATGGTTTAAAAACAGCCTAGACAGGAAAGTCCATGAGGCACTTATCTTCAATTAACCACCAAAAAAGCTGGAAGTGGAGCTGTGGTTCAAGTGGTAGAGCACTAGCCTGGAACACAAAAGCTCAGGGGCAGTGCCTAGGCCTTGAGTTCAACCCCAGGGCCAGGAAAAAAATATATAAATTTTTACTTAGGCTAGGCACTAGTGGTTCATGCCTTATAATCTTGATGTGGGAGGATGAGATAAGAATTGTCATTCAAATCTTGCCAAGGCAAAAAAGCTTGTGAGACCTCATCTTGAGAGAGAAAAAAAAAAGGGAGGTGGACAGAGTATTGGTCACCAGTCAACCCAGTACCATGGGAAGCTAAATAGGAAATCAAAGCTCAGGCCTGCCTGGGACAAAAGGAAGACTGTATCTAGAAAATAACCAGGCCTTTAAAAACTCAAGTAGTAGAGTACCTGCCTGCCTAAAACTTTCAAAGTCCTGAATTCAAACTCCAGTACCACACACACACACAAAAAAAAACTTACTCAAAAATATTACCAGTGATTCCCCTTTGAGAGTTTAGAGCAAGTCATAAATATTAAACCAGTAAAAATAATATACATTATTCTACCACTTTATAACCCTATGTTTAAGAGATCAAAACTAAAATATCTAACTACACAAACCAGAGCATTTGGTAACTGCCAAGGGGAGTTATATAAATAAAAGGAAAAAGGTTTCATTACTACATAAGCTTACTATCTCACTTTATACATTTAAAATAAAAAGTTAGGCATCTACACCTGAACTAAAATAAATGTTTCTGTAATTCATTTTAAAGTCCGTTAGTAATAATGAAGTGTACATTGGTCACAGCAGAATAGTTCAAATGAGTTTTCCTGAGCCTGCATTCTAAGTACATCCGACCCAGAAAGTATTTTTAGCAAGTGTGTTCAATCAATGCTGGTTTAATGCCTAGCCTAAATTAGAAATTAGGTGTCATAAATTTAAAGTAACAATGCTACTAGGGACATTTTAAAGATACCAAAATAGGACATAAGGAAAAAAAAAAAAAAAAGCAAGCCCCAAGTTTGATACAATTTATTTAAAGCCCAGAACCTAAGATATTAGAAAACAGACCATTAAAAAGTCACATCTTCCTCTATTACTACTTTTGAGGAATAGGTGATTTTTTTTCACTTGGTAAGTTATAACTTACTATTAAGAAAAAATATAAAATAGCAATAGCCTCCCTGTTTTAAAAAGCTCTTGCAAAATGTTTAACTAGTCAAACTGCAAATATCCTCATGTTAAAAAAAAATCATGTTGTTCTTATAAACCAGTCGAGATGACCATGAACATGTGTATTGCAAAAGTAGACACACATGCCATAAGAAATTGTGAAGCAACACAAAAATAGTTTTGGGGGTAATCGCAGCAGAAGTGTATTCTGCTCTGTACCCACAAAATGGGTAAAATAGTTGTGTACAATATGTAAAGTTTTGCTTTTAAAACGCAATTTCTTTGAAAATTAAATTAATATTATCAAATTCAAGATTTAATTAATGTTGCTCTAGTCCAAGCACATTTCTGATTCTGAATAACTTATTTTAGCTCAACCATCCCCATTAAAAAAAAATGAAAAACAATTTTCAATCTCTGGAACGTTAAAGTTCAAAAAACCTAGTTTAAAAATGTTCAGAGGCCAGATGTTGGTGGTTCACGCCGGCAAGCCTAGCTACTCAAGAGTTTGAGATCCGAGGATCCTGGCTGAAAATTGTTGAGACTCTCTCCAATGAACTACCAAAAAGCCAGACATGGTGCTGAGGCTCAAAGTGGCAGCACTAGCCTAGCGCACAAAAGCTCAGGGACCGTGCCAAAGCTCTGAGTTCGAGCCCTAGAATTATCAAGACCCCCCCCTTCTCCCGCCCCCCCCCATCGCGCGCGCGCGCGCAGACACACACACACACACACACACGTTCTGGCTTTTAGTGTTGGAGTCTTCTATTCAAATTGAATTTTACAAGTTGGACACATGGCTTTTGGAGGTTTTTATTTTCCTCTATAGACTTATTTTGAGTGTGACCAATGAGCTCTACTACGTCAGTTGAGACCAAGATCTGGTCGTATACTTTTATTCCTTCCATTTCTTTTTCTTAAGCAAGCTAGAATGTTACAGATACGATAGGCACTCCCGAAACAAGCCCTTTGAAAGAAATCCTACAGATCGTCCTTGTACCTACTGATGTCACTCAATGATGTAAGCCCAGACAGAAAAGTCTCCCATCCTTAAGTTTCGCAGAACACAGCCACACACATATCTGGTCCGCAACCTGTCTCATTTTTTAAGGAAGCCCTCGGAAATGCATAGGTACAAGTTTGGCTCCATCTCATCTTTCTGACACAAGTGCAAATCCTTCACAAGTATATACTGGTAGAATCGTGAGGCTTAAAACTTAAATTGGTAGGGACAATGCCAGAAGCGCTGGTGGTGCACCCATGTTTTTTTGAAGGAAGAAAATACACGAAGGAAGAAGAAAAAGGAAGAATTATTCCACCAGCCACCGAAAACTCTGTGTGATTAACGCCTTACTTGGGAGTTTGGATCGCGGGGACACGTTCCATCCCCTCGTCCCCGGGCCCTCCCAGGACCGAGATCCTAACTCTAACCGCGGCGAGCTCCGGGAACGGAGGTCCCAAGAAGAAAGGAGAACCAACGCATCCTTTCTCCCCTCTCTCCGTCGAAATCAACCCGGTAACCTCGAGCTATCCGGCTCGCCTCCCGCAGGCCACAGGCGCCCAGGTAGCAAGCCCCGCGGGCGCCGATCGCGGGCGAGGGACCGGCGCGAGAACCGAGGGTCTCTTACCTTCGTATCACAGCCGCGTCCTCTCGGCTGGAGAAAAAAAAAAAAAGAGCCAAA